TTAAGCAAAAGCAAAAGGCAATTAAGTTTCTTCAAAATCAATCAAGAAATTGCTTTAAAGTTGAGCTGTAAAAGAATTGTCGTGCGTGTTGTTGGATTTATCTGTGAATGGCAGTTCCTGTTAACTGCTTTGAATACCCATTAGATATTTAATTATTTGTTGCATATTTTTAAAAAGGGACTTTAGCTTGGCCAACTTGACTCTCTGCCTAAGAGCTGAAGACTTTTACTAGCGTTGCCTATGCCTAACGTTGCCTCTTTAGATTTATCCCCACTTTTCCAGGAAAAGGGCAAGACAGAGAAGGACACTGAGCAGAAAGAGTAGGGGAAGGGGAGGAGGTGAAAGAGCATGGGAGATGTGATAGAGGCATGGGAAGATGCAGAAGGGCGGAGAGGGAGAACGAGCAGGAGAAGAAGAACGAGCAGGAGAAGGAGAGTAAGACTGTGGGGAAGCAGCGCTTTAAAGTTTATTTAAAAAGATTATTAGGGCTATTTAATATTAAAATATTAAAATAATTATGTGAGTAATAAGATTAAGTAACTAAGAGTTCTGCTATAAGTTTAAGTTACATACTCTGCTTCATTTTGAATAAAATAGTAAAATAGGATGTCTAACAACTCCTAGTTTATTCCTTTGATACAGACAAAGAACTAGGAGGATCTCCTATATATTTTACATATTGCTTTTACAGACTAGACATTAAAAATTTTGTTCAGAATCTGAGTTTTATACCTTACATATTGTTATAATTTTTTTTTCTTTTTAAATATAAATATAACTCTGGAATTTTTATCATGAAAAACTATTTCTTGTGCTCAAATCAAGCTTATGAAATATGACTAAATAGAATCCCAGGCTAACCTAGATAAAGAAACCTATCCTAAATCAGTCATATTTCAGCCCGAAATTTAAAGTGTTGCACCTGCTTGAAGCCAGTGCGTGAAATATAGCCCAGGGCACGGCTCATGCTGCCGCTGGGATAATGGGCGACGCAGCATGGCTGGCTGGAACCTAAGCGAAATCTAATGTACGCACCTCATGTGGACCTACTCGATGTGGCAGCTGTTGCATTGTTGCTGCTGCTGTCGCTGATGCTGCTGCTGCTGCTGCTGGTGTGCTGGGGGGCTTGCACTTGCCACGACTGGCGGCACTTAGGCTGCTGGCAACGGACAGCATGGAAGCGGAATGTGCTGGCTGATGGCCCAGCTGATATTGTTCGTAATCCTCGGGTGTTGTGATTTCCGGCGTTGGCTGCCTCTGATGATGCTGCTGCTGCTGCTGTTGCTGTTGCTGCTGCTGTTGTGGATGGCGATTGCAGCGTGAGCTCACGGTGCCAATGCCGCTGCTATAAAGCGAATTGGATGAGCTGAGCGAGGTGGGATCTGTGACGGGCGCCGACGAGGCCGATTCATAGGACGAATTAATATGGGCTGGTGAGCCGGCACGTGCCAATTGCTGCTGCTGCTGCTGGTGCTGCTGCTGCTGGCCCTCCACATTCATGTAGAGCGGCTTGCGTGTGAGATTGAGGCCCGCTGCGGACGCTTTGTGCGGCTTGGGCGTGCGCTGGCCCAGCGCCGGCAGCTGCGACTCATAGGAGCTATTCGATATGCCCGAATCGCTGCGATAGATGCTGAGGCGTTCGGGCTCCATCAGCTGGAAATCAGCAGCACCGGCGCCGGATGCATCAGCCTTTTGCTGGTGCTGGCGATGGTGATGTTTCTTCTTGTGGCTCGCCGAGACGACAGCAGTCGGCTGCGAGTGCAGCTGCACCGTGGCCAGACTGAGATTGTGCTTAAGACTATGGTGATTCATGTTGAGTGTGTGATGGCCAGCCGGCATGCTGCTGCTGCTGCCGTCACCGCCCACATCGAGATCTAGATCCAGGTCTAGCTCGTTGCCGCACTTGTCCGCCACATTCTCGTAGACGGGCGGATCATAGAGGCGCAGGGGCTTGCCGTTGGATTCAATATCGCCATGGCTACCACCAGCAAAGGAATGATGCCGCTTGCATTTCGGCTGTTGCGCTGTCGATGTTGCTGCCACGCCCAGCGAGCTGTTCAGATTGTAGGCGGGCTTCTTCAGCTTGTTGCCGCCATTGGGAAACTTCAGTGAGTAGAATTTCTTGTCCACATCGATGCGATCCAGCAGGCTGCCCACCTTGCCGCGCTTGCTGCGCTGCATGCTGCCCAGCAGCTCGTCCCCGGCCGCATCGTATTTCTTAAAGTTGCTCGCGGCGAGGAAGGGGTTCGTGTTGAGCAGCGCTGAGCTAGGCGCCGGCGGTGGCGGTGGCACACGCTCAACCACCGCATAGGTGGGCTGATAGTCGTGCTCGATGGCATTCAGCAGTTGGGCATTCGATGCGGAGTTCGTGTGAAACTTTTGCGACTGTTGCTGCGAGGGTTGCTGCTGATGTTGCTGCTGCTGCTGTGATTGCTGCTGTTGCTGATGATGTTGCTGGTAGTACTCGGTGTAGCTTTTNAAATATAAATATAACTCTGGAATTTTTATCATGAAAAACTATTTCTTGTGCTCAAATCAAGCTTATGAAATATGACTAAATAGAATCCCAGGCTAACCTAGATAAAGAAACCTATCCTAAATCAGTCATATTTCAGCCCGAAATTTAAAGTGTTGCACCTGCTTGAAGCCAGTGCGTGAAATATAGCCCAGGGCACGGCTCATGCTGCCGCTGGGATAATGGGCGACGCAGCATGGCTGGCTGGAACCTAAGCGAAATCTAATGTACGCACCTCATGTGGACCTACTCGATGTGGCAGCTGTTGCATTGTTGCTGCTGCTGTCGCTGATGCTGCTGCTGCTGCTGCTGGTGTGCTGGGGGGCTTGCACTTGCCACGACTGGCGGCACTTAGGCTGCTGGCAACGGACAGCATGGAAGCGGAATGTGCTGGCTGATGGCCCAGCTGATATTGTTCGTAATCCTCGGGTGTTGTGATTTCCGGCGTTGGCTGCCTCTGATGATGCTGCTGCTGCTGCTGTTGCTGTTGCTGCTGCTGTTGTGGATGGCGATTGCAGCGTGAGCTCACGGTGCCAATGCCGCTGCTATAAAGCGAATTGGATGAGCTGAGCGAGGTGGGATCTGTGACGGGCGCCGACGAGGCCGATTCATAGGACGAATTAATATGGGCTGGTGAGCCGGCACGTGCCAATTGCTGCTGCTGCTGCTGGTGCTGCTGCTGCTGGCCCTCCACATTCATGTAGAGCGGCTTGCGTGTGAGATTGAGGCCCGCTGCGGACGCTTTGTGCGGCTTGGGCGTGCGCTGGCCCAGCGCCGGCAGCTGCGACTCATAGGAGCTATTCGATATGCCCGAATCGCTGCGATAGATGCTGAGGCGTTCGGGCTCCATCAGCTGGAAATCAGCAGCACCGGCGCCGGATGCATCAGCCTTTTGCTGGTGCTGGCGATGGTGATGTTTCTTCTTGTGGCTCGCCGAGACGACAGCAGYCGGCTGCGAGTGCAGCTGCACCGTGGCCAGACTGAGATTGTGCTTAAGACTATGGTGATTCATGTTGAGTGTGTGATGGCCAGCCGGCATGCTGCTGCTGCTGCCGTCACCGCCCACATCGAGATCTAGATCCAGGTCTAGCTCGTTGCCGCACTTGTCCGCCACATTCTCGTAGACGGGCGGATCATAGAGGCGCAGGGGCTTGCCGTTGGATTCAATATCGCCATGGCTACCACCAGCAAAGGAATGATGCCGCTTGCATTTCGGCTGTTGCGCTGTCGATGTTGCTGCCACGCCCAGCGAGCTGTTCAGATTGTAGGCGGGCTTCTTCAGCTTGTTGCCGCCATTGGGAAACTTCAGTGAGTAGAATTTCTTGTCCACATCGATGCGATCCAGCAGGCTGCCCACCTTGCCGCGCTTGCTGCGCTGCATGCTGCCCAGCAGCTCGTCCCCGGCCGCATCGTATTTCTTAAAGTTGCTSGCGGCGAGGAAGGGGTTCGTGTTGAGCAGCGCTGAGCTAGGCGCCGGCGGTGGCGGTGGCACACGCTCAACCACCGCATAGGTGGGCTGATAGTCGTGCTCGATGGCATTCAGCAGTTGGGCATTCGATGCGGAGTTCGTGTGAAACTTTTGCGACTGTTGCTGCGAGGGTTGCTGCTGATGTTGCTGCTGCTGCTGTGATTGCTGCTGTTGCTGATGATGTTGCTGGTAGTACTCGGTGTAGCTTTTGGGAAAGCAATTGCTTAGATTATATTGTATCTGATCGGAGCTGGACTCGAGCTGGTCCATGCTGCGATTATGTGGAGCTGTAAGAGGGGGCGGGGCTGTGCAGCCACGCCCGTACTGCAAAGTGTTGTACTGATGCTGCTGCTGATGTTGCTGCTGCTG